TATTTATTTAGTTAGCTTTAGCAACTGTTTATTTGACAATTACTACTTATTTTCCTGTATACAATTAAACTCAGAAGACAAACCTTGAAGAGACTTAAAATAAGGTAAACAATTTTGAAAAGAAACAAACCAAAACTACATAGCATTATAAGACAGTCAGTGCTTAATGCCTAATGATATTAAATGACATTAAACAACAAATGTTAATTATGCAAGGGCAGGAGAAGAGAAGAGAAATCAGCAGAAGGGTCATGCAAGAGGTGTATGACCTTGAACTTGACTTCAAAGAGTATAGAAGATTACGTAATCATTTTAAATTAAGAGATTGAAATTAGGGAACAGACAAGGTGTTTAAGGAATATCTGGTTTTACCAAAGTGGGGCACCTTGGGAGAAGGTCTAAAATGTGATGAATTCTTTCTAGGATCCAGGTACTCTGTTGTGTATTTACATAATATAATGCTAGAGTGGAAATATAATATGCTGTATGATTACTGAAGTTCTAAAATGACAAGTTGAGGTAATTTGAAGATTTGAAGTTTTGGGAACAAATAGAGTAAAAAAATTGAAGTTTTTTGGAGTAAATAAATTTAATAAAGTTTTAAGGGAAAATTATCATTAGTGTGCAATATATAAGAGGTGAGAGAGACTCAAGGAGCATAAAAGCTCAGTGATCGGTGTCATAATGCAAGAGTGAGCCACTGAGAGGGCAGTGGGAAGCCAAAGACCAGTGCAGAAGGAGCAAACACGAGGCGGATAGGCTAGTAGGATCTGTTACTAAGACTGGATATGGGGAGGGAGGAAAGATGAAAACTGAATGATGACTTCAAGCTTGTGTCCTTGTGGGAATGACAATTTAGCAGTGCCATCCGTGCCTGCTCAGTTTTACCTGGTCAGGAACAGCAACAAAAGCAAAACATTCAAACAGGAAAACTCCAAACCTCTTAGAAGTCACAAAACTTTTATTGACGTATAGTATGTTAACATACATTCTTTCTATTCCTAATCTATTCAGTTGGAAACATAGACGAGGCTATTTGTATCATGTTGCTATGGTATCTATAGAAGCAGAACGTGTTTATTGAACTCTGATAGGTCTAGCTGTGATGTCATTGGCTTGTATTTAGAGGATCTATAATGTGTAGAGTTGTATCAACCAAAAGGATCTGAAGGATCTGCCTGAGGATATGGGAAATTTTTATGAAGTGCCTTTATTATGAATATCCTCAAAAGAAATCTCTTACTCATCATAGCATTAGAATTACTTGTTATTTCTTGAGCAGTTAGCTGGGGTTCTTTAAAACTGATATGAATTATAAAAATTATATTTCTCTTTTTGCTGTGGCTTACAGAAATCTTGGAGTTAAATTTGGGACACAATAGAGAAGATAACTCCTTGATTTATGACTGTTTCTGTGAATTTTTGCATTCAACTCTATTCAAAAAGTACATGTGATGTACTTGAATATTAACTATTATATATTATTATAGTTACTTTCTTTAAATGTTGGACAAAATCCTTTACATTGACTTCATAACACTTCAGTGCATCCTGACCTGCCTTGAAAAAAATTATTTTTTGCCAATCAAAGGTTAATTGCTTATTTATTTTCCTTATTTCACATTTATGATTTATAGTGTCTTTTATTTATGTCTTCCCTGTAAGCTGCTGTAAGTCTTTTCTTACGGAAAACTCTAAGTATCTGAATGTGCCTGACAATCTATTAAGCTGAATTTATAGAGATTCATTAAATGGACATTTCCTGAATTGAGCTTATGGTTTAGTGAGGAAGAAGGATATGAAATAGATAAAATAACATTGTAAATAAAGAGTAATATATTAAGAGATACAATGAAGAAGGCAAGGTGAAAACAATGATTTTTTCCTTAAAGGAATTCTGTTGAAGTTAGAGCTATAAATAAACATCAGTTTTATCTATGAAAAGCAAGTTTTTTTATATGCTAGATTTAGTCTTGACGTGTTCATCGCTGTTTTAGTCCTCTTAGCAAAGAACCAGTATTTCAG